AGAAACACGATCCATGTTTTCTATTTCTTAAATGCTTTTTTTTTTGGTTGGAGGGGGAGGGGGGTGTGGGGGAAGGGGAGGAAGAAGATGCGGCTACTCCATTACTACTCCATTAGGGAGCATGAGGATGGGAGAAAATAAAGGAAGGAGATCAAAAATAATAATGGTTTAACCGTTTTCACGATCTTCTCATACGAGAACTTACAATATAAACCGCTCTCCTGATTTCTTATGACATGCCAGCGCTAAGCTATTAGACGCTGATTATTTTTTCTGCTTTTGTAAACAGTTAGCGCTGGGGGAGAGGGGGGGTTGGGGAATGGTTTATACGGAGAAGGCTTCAGAGCAAAGTGAAGTTTCAGCGACAGCTGAAGAAAGCCTTACATACAAATTAATACATACTTTATTTGATGAGAAGGCTAGTAATGGCAGCCAAAGAAAGAGCTGATGTGATCCTACTATACAAAAACATCTATCTAATTGCAAAATCAATAAAACACGAAGAGTATATATAAAAATAAAGAGCTATATACCGGGACATCGAATTTTACTTAAAACTAATTAGAATAAAGTTCCTTTTTCATCAGAGTAAGTAAGTAATAATTAACAATAGACGAAATCATCCTTTTCCGTAGTTACCAATGTTTAAATGGTTTTGAGTTGACATTGTCAAAAGACAATTAAATTACACACGACCTAAAACTGCCATATTATACAAGAGTGTGTTTCTGATATACAACTAAACCAGCACATACTCGACTTTCTATAAATTGCCAATTGCAATTGCAAGCTTCATAAGAAAGTGTTATCTATAGCCATAACTAGTTCAAAGTTCAGGAGATACAATAAAACTATCAAATGTAAAACATGAAAAATAATAAAGAAAGCTGTTTGAGTCTATTTAAAATCAACTGCTTAAAGCAGAAGTTCACTCCAAAAAAAACGTATTATTTTGTCGACGCTAATAAAAACCTCGTACTAACTTTAGCCTTTCACCAAAGTGTAGGTTTTCCTTATGAAATCCGTCTCCAAAGAAGCCCAAAATTCGACATCGTTGCCGCCATTTTGAACAGTATTTATCAGCCAGGCCACGTTTTCGTGACGTTATTCGGTGCAAGGCATTTTGTCCATGGCTACCGAGCAGTGAATATAGTAAAGAGGATAATCGGTTGAAAAGAAAAAAAGAAAACATTTTGCTGCTGACCATGCGAGGGATGCAAGGTCAGCTGCAGGTTTTTCTGCTTCTCGCCAATTTCGAGTTGGACGAAATGACGTCATATAAACACGTCCTGGTTGCCAATTGCAGTTTCAAAATGGCGGCGTCCAAAGTGGAATTTTAGGCTTCTTTCGAGACGAATTTCTTCAGGATAGCAGACACTTTAGAAGCTGAAACTTTGGTGAGTGAAAAACCCATTGTTTACTTGCTATAGGTGGAGACAAAAAAGTAAGCTCTTTGGGGTGACCTTCTCCTTTAAGTTGAAAAAATCCCTTGACTTCTGATGCTGAGTTTCATTTTTCACTAGCTTTTTGTTTCTGAACTACACACAAATAAACCCAGCTACCATTTTAAACTTTAAATGTTGAATCTTAAACCATTTTTGCATTTGTATATTATGTTTAAAACGTTTCCCTACTAGGTGATATTTTACTCACTACAAGCCGACCGAGACCTTTTAGCAGACTCTAACGCTAACCCATTGGCATTATGACTTAAACCTTTAAAATCCAGCAAATAGGAACATATTTGTAAGGGCTGTAGAGGGATCGAAATAAAGTTCGTTTACTCAAATGGCAAGTTGGGGAAAGTTGCGCCATTAACGATTTTGTTTGGGTAACTGAACACTTGCTACATCACTTTATATAAAGGTTACAGGGTACCTGAGAAAACAACAAAATAGACTAAGTTAACGTTCATAATATCATGAACCAAGAGTTATGATCCGATAGGTTTGTGAGTCTTTGCTTAAACGCTGACCAGGAAGAAAAGAAAAGACAAAGACAATCGTAAAGTCAATTCCAACTCATTTAGGTAGTTCCTTGACCCCTGATGGTAAGTTCCGTTTATCAACGATAGAAGTTGAAGTTATAGCACGTTCAGGATAATGTCCGCGGACAGATATCCCAACATATTTTTTCGCGCCAAATGGAGGCTATTGTTTATTTATCTAGTTTTTGGCGCAGTTAACGATAAACAGGGTGAGTAATATCTCAAAATTTCGGCAAAATAGAATTTGCATACTCATGGTTGCAGTCAGGAAATTAACGGGGATGATAAAACATACGGCTTGTCGCCTTTCTTGTGCATTGAATTTGAACTTGTCGAATGACTAGACTGGAGTACGGATAGTTTTTATTCTTTCATGCCTAGCTACGAAATACGAGATCTAGCTGTTTTTGCAAACCAATTTTGTTGCGGTTTCAGTTGAGATACTTGTAAGACTTTGTCTAGCTGGTTGTTTGTCCAATGCTTCAGTATTTTCGTGGATATGCTCGTCGTTCGTCCAAAGGTGGACATTTTTAAATCGAATAAGCCAACTTTTGTGTCACTATTTTAGCCCCCTCGAGTCTTAATGAACATGATTTAACCCTTCTTATCACTCACATTTTTGTGGTAGTGGCTGATGAAGTTAGGCTGCGCCGAATATAAATGTTCTACCTTTTATAACGCTCTGAATACAGGAAATTATTTTATATTTTAAATCGGTTCTCTGAAGGGTTTTGAGTTTCTCTTTGCCTACTTCCTGTACTTTAATTTTTTCTTCTTCCTTCTCAGTACCTTTCTTCAACTACTTTGGACGAGACCGCCATTGAAAAAATTTGGCTGCCACAAAAACCACAAAACAGCACTGAATTTCACTCGTTAAATAAGCGGAAATCGAGCTGCGTCAAACCAAGGAGATGCGAATTTCTTAGTACGGGAAAATCGGTCTTTTTTGTCGAAACAATTATGAGGCGCAAACAGATCGGACTTAAATTCCTCAAAAGACTCTTTTAATCTCGAAATCTGTTATTGATATGATTAATTAGTAATTAGTGCTTGTGCCGTAAGTTTTAGATAATAATCATGTTCGTACACTACTTGCAAAGATTTCGGACGATTTTAATTTCGGACAAAAAAAGCGTCCGAAAATAAAACCGTCCGAAAGTTTTAAGCGTCCGTGTAATTCGCGTTTTGTAGGCGTAAATTTACTTTAGCTATGTTTCATCACAGTGTCCGAAATTGCTGACCGAAATTTGTCCAAAATGAGATAAAGTGTCCGAAAATTAATCGTCCGAAATTTCTACGTCCGAAGTTTTTTGCAAATAATGTAATCTCAAATCGGCCTCAGGCTGCGTGCTTGTCCGATTTTAAAATTAATTGCGCGATTACTCCCTGAATTGTTCTCCAGTAGGTCCAGTACTGGTTACTATTACTTACCATTTTGTAACGAACGCGTAGCGTTGCAACTCAGGGGAAGATGGTCGTTCGTCAGGTTTCCTACAAAAACAAACAATACGACTTACAGTAAGCACAATTTTCAAAGGTCGGACAACACTTATATTCACTTTCCAAATTTCTAATCACCGCTTCTGCTTCTGCATCGTAGTGATGTCACTTTAATAACACCGTTTGAATGACACCTGCCTTCGTCCTTTTGCAATGTTTGCAATGTTTTTTTCCATACATTCTTTAGCTACATAACCACTTGTTTAACTCTGCTATTAACAATTACCAACCACTTCAAGGCAGCCCCAATAAACGCTCTTGCATCTTGTGATACATTCAGAGGCACCAGAGTCATGATATCGATGGGCCCTGAAGCAATTTTAGACCTGGCTGCTTCTGTTTGAAAATAACTCAGAGGGGGTTTTCCGGTCAGCATTTCGATAACTGTACAACCGACACTCCTTTAAAAAAAAAACGCCACACATTTAGAAGTTAAAACATGAATTTTGCATACCTTGACGAATGTTACAGTTTCAAATTACTGGGAGCTCACAAAATCAGCTTCGACCCATTGACTCATACCTTAAACTAACTTATATTGCCATCAAAATAGTAAATTAAAGTTTGCGATTGATACATCATGCGAGGTCACACCAAAACTACAACAATTACGTTCCCCAGGTCTGACAATGCCCATTTTCGGTCAGTGGTGACTGAACACAACTCTTGGTGTAGTTTGATTGTGTGTAAAGGTTCAAATTTAATGATCGTCTTTCAACATGAGTAAAGAGAGTAACCACTGTGATTAATGCAGCAGGGTTCAGCTTCTGATTTCGCTCAGAGTTCCACATTTGTAGTGCTAACTAAAAGAATAATGGTTTCTGGGAACGAGGCTGCAAGCTAAAATGGCTCCAAGCAAAACCTTACATGACGAGGAATGCACTAAACCTATCTTCTTTTCCCGTGTTTGTTTCTTCGTGGACAACCCAACGAATATCGAGAAAAGGAAAGGAAAAGCAGTGTTTGTCCTT